GGGGTTGCTGGGTGAAGGGGAGCAAAGGGGGAAAAATCAGGAAACTACTTTTATTCACATTTTAATTTACCCCTGTACTCAAATGTGGTTTTATTAACATATTCACATAATATTAAGACTTTGGCACACCTTTGTTATTTGGATTAGTTATTTCATTGCCACTTTAATACTAATTTTCTTGATCTTTAATATTTTTCTGATGTTTTATGCAACTTCATGCAAGAAAATCTAATCTGCCATATATAGAAAGTTTTTGAGATTTCAATATTATATTCTTTAAGAAGGATGGGACTGTTTTTAGCTCATGTTTTCTACATTTGTACAATATCTGAGTGTAAATGTTTCTTTCAATATATAAAACCATCTTTTTAGCACACTGCAAGCTGCAATATTAAAAAAATGATTCTTTTCCTTTATTTCATATGGAGACATTTCTACCATTGTAAATCAAATAGGTCAAGTGAATAAAGTCAGCTTTAATTTTATTTAAATTTCAACGTGGGCTCTCTGTAACACTGTATGTGAATAGCATTCTAAAGTTTGAGCTAATCCTAGGCTACCTCCCTAAGCATAAAAATGCTTCCAGGCCATGTTCCTTTTAATTTAAACTTAGCAAAACTTAATAGAATTGTTAAGTTTGCTGGTGTAAATACAAATAAACAAACAGAAAACCTAATCAACCAATACATTCACTTTAGTGCCAAAGAAATGAATTTGGGATTAGACAATCATCTGTCTCCATTAAGCATGGATAATCTAGAACTTCATACATTAGGATTTATTTATATGTCATAATTTCTTGTATACAATCTTGATAGTGGTCAATATAAAAAACAAAGGTTTAATTTCAGATGCATGTTTGTAAGGCAGGGAAAGACATGAGTGGATTTCTTTATCTCTAAGCAAAACTCCATTACAATAAAAATTTCTGTAAAACAATTTTCCATCCCCAACTGGTAGCCCACTTACAGGTGGTGCTGGATTTAAGCAATACCACCAGATAGGGAGAATATAGAAAATTCCTTTTAGTCACTGGATAGAACTGTACTTGGAATACTAAGGAATGAAAACAGGGAGTAAGTGTGTATTTGTTATCCTACCAGACAAATTTACGTTGGCCAGTAGTCGAAGGGTTAAAAAATAAACAGCTTAGTAATTAAGAACATGAGCTTTGAGGTCAGGCTGCCTAGGTTTAAATCCTGGCTCTACTACATAATAATAATGTGAACTTGAGTGTTTCATCTGTATAATGGAGATTTGATGACATAAAGAACTAAAGGACCAAGCATACATACCTCAACGTGTGGTTGCTTTTCCTGCACCCTCCACGGCGGACCTGGCCTGCAACCCAGGCATGCGCCCTGACCAGGAATTGAACCAGTGACCCTTTTATACTTCAAATAATAATTATTGACGCTTACTTTTAAGAATTTTACATGTATTTTATTTCTTTCATCCTTGGTTGTTATTTTCATTTTGAATTCTTCCTCTGCATCTTATTTGCAAAGGTGCATAATAAATAAGAATGAGATAGTAAAACCTCAGTTATCCAGAATGCTTGGAAATGAATCCTTCCAGATATAATGATATTTTTCATAGGGTAACTTTATTAGATATCAAAAAAAAAAATCAACAAATGGGATAAAACTCTTTCCTAATCCTATTACACACTTCCATGCCTTCTTAAGGAGAGAATACTGGTGGTAATTAAATTTTTTTCTTGATGAATAACAAGAATAAGCCTACTTGACTCTACCTAAGGTTTTGGTAATGTGTAGTTAGAAATCAGGGTGAGTGTGAACCTGGAAGTGAAAAAATTTACATCTTTATTTTTACTAATCTCTAACTGAAAATAAGCATTTCCTTCAATTTTGAATGTAAGCAACAAACAGCTATAACTGTCCATTCACCAATAGGAATCACAGATAATTTATATCACAATTGTTGCAAGCTCTGGAAATATTTATGTTCAAAAATTTGGTCTTTCTAAACCTATCAACTGATCTTACTGAGTTAGTAAAGCAGAAATATTCTTACATCAAAAATTTGTTTTTCTAATATTTTGCAACTATTTCAAAATGTTTTCTTTTTTAATGCTATGAATTTTATTTTATACATTTAAAAATGATATTTTGAGAAGAGTCCATGGCTTGAACGTGAACTGCCAAAGTGATCTGTGGCACAAAAAAAATTTAAGAACTCTGACCTCAAATCAGTCCCAGTCCACTGTGCTGTAAATTTGGAGCTTTAACATGTTTCATTATACTTTCATACTGAAGATTGTTTAAATTGGAGTAACACAAATTGGCTTCTTCAAGGTAGGAATGTGTCCTACCACCTTTGAACCCTTGTTTCTGAAAGAACAAAACAAATAGAGGAAGAAATGATCAAAATTATTCAGATGGCATTGAAAGTAGAAACATAAAATATCCTACTCTCCTACTTTCTAAATTGAGACAATATGAAACTCCATTCAATAAATACTCTGAAGTCAGCTGCATGGGTTCAAATTCTTCTTCTGCCATTTATTAGCTGTGTGACTTGGGAAAGTAATCTCTATGTGTATCAGTTTCTTTATTTGTAAAGAGGGTTAATGAGCACAGTACCTGGTACATGATTTGCTCCGTATTACCTATATTATTATTATTACAGATTTGTTTCACACGAAGCCCAGTTAATGTCTCACTAGTTAGTTTAATCAACTTAACATTTATACAGCTTTGTAGTCTACAGTGTCTTTTCACATACATTATGACATCTGAACGACATAATAATCCTATGAGAAAGGACAGCCATTATTCTGCCTAGCTTAGGGTTGAAAAAACTAAGAAACCACACAATAACAAACTAATGGGAAGTAATAGAGCCAGAAATCAAATCTGAATTTCTCCCTTCACTCTGACTGCCTAATCCTGTGTTTCTACTGTTAGAATGGTTAAAACAACAAAGGAAAGATTACTTGAAGGGAAGGAAGGCCATGAGGTGAACACTTGAATGCTTTGCTACTCACAGTGAGTTGCTCTGACCAGAATAATCTGTGTCACCTGGCAGTTTATTAGAAATGTAGAATCTCAGGCCTCATCTCGGCCTCTAAGTCGAAATCTGCATTCTCAAGAAAATCCCTACGTGATTTGCATAGAGATGTATTTTGGTGTGTATAATGCGCACTTTTTTGCCCAAATATTTGAGGGCAAAATAAGAATGCACCATCATACATGGGTAGTACCTGGAATACCTTGTATATATTCTTTTGTTTTGTAATTATTTGTTGCATAAAATTTCTTGTTAATATGTTCAAAAATAAATGCTAAAATTCCTTTACAATACAAAAAACAAGTACCTAAATATAAATAAAAATTGAAATAAAAAATTAAAACGATTTTTTTTCCTGTTTGGGCCAAACACGTGGGTGTGCATTATACATGGCAAAATACGGTAGTTTGAGAGGCACTATTGCACGAACTACTCTAGTGACATTACTATGTAATGGTCTCTTGAACCACATACATTAGGTCATTTATCACAGCCCTCGATGCTTTATTGGGTAATACTTTCTTGTAACAGGAAATAACTTGCTGCTTCCCTTTTTTAAAGTGTACTTTTAAAACAAGTTTATACTTCCATTTCATTCTTAAAGATCTCCACTTCGTTAAGTGGGATCGTTAAAAAATGTTAGAAAACTTCAAGCAAATCAGTACTTACCTTTAAATTCCTTTAAAAAAAGCAGTGTTTTACTAACCTCTGGCTTAAGGAAACACTAGAGAGCAAAATCGCCCTCTCTGTACTTCACACCTAGCAGAGTAAAATAGGCCAATCCTACTCTAACATTTCTTCGCCTGCATGTTTCCCTAAGTATTGTTTTCTGACCAAAAACTTCGACTTCTTGAGCTTCGCAAAGCTGTGGCTTAAGGAATGGAAACATAGCAACAGGAGGAAAATCTAGTACATCTCTTCCCAGTCCTAAACCTTGGCAGATGGTGTCGATTGATTACAGAGACCAGGCCTTCATCTTTCTATCCTTTAGGCTAATCAATTCACAGGTGAGCTTTATTTCTAGGATGCTCTAATTCTGGGAAGAGGTCTATGCTATGGGCCCGCTCACCTCAGTACTGGTCCTTCGGGATCAGATATACACTAGATTTCGGCTGGGGAGAGCGCCGATCGGCGGCCCGCTAGGTTGTATTTTAAATGCTGATTCTCATTTTGAGGGACACCTCCCTGCGGTTAACCGACCCAAACCGGCAGGACATTAAACATCTCTCACCTGCTTCACCGGAAACTTCAAAACCCGGGACATCCTGGCCTAAAAGTATCTAGTAATTAGACCAGGGCACCTCCCACCGCACATTCCTGATTGGGCGCGTGAGAGGGATGTGTCGGCGCGGCTCATACAAGGCCGGGGAATTCCATTTCCTCTCCCTCCCACCAGAATAAGCATTCAGAGGCGGGGCTTCCACGGTGACGACCCGCTCCAGCTCCAGCCGGTGCCGCTTTGCATCTCGCGAGAGTTTGTGGGTTTGTAGGCGGGGCCCCATAGGGAAGAGCGCACAAAACTGCTCTTAAGTCATTGCAGATCTACAGCTCCTGTAAGCCAGCCACGAGGTTATCGCGAGACCGCCTCAATACCAAGTGAGGAAATTGGGGTAGACGCTGCTGGGAGGGGCGTGGGGCTGTACCGCGCAGCAGCCGTTTCCATTACCTTCCTCCCATGGTTTCCTTCCGGTTCTCGATGCTTCTCTGAGTCTGAGGGTTTCCGCTGTCCGTCTACCCTTCCCCCCGCAGCTCATGACCCGCCTCTGGCTCCCGCCCTCCCAGTCCAACCTCCGATCTGTTTAATAACAAAGTACTGTTCTAAAAAGAAGGAAACGTGGGTAGCACAGACACTCGGCCCTGGACGGGGGATGTACACCGTCTCCCAGCTCCCTTAGAGTCATTCTGTGCTCGCGACGGCGGCGTTGGCGGACTGATACGCAGCGGTGAAGAGGCAGGAGGAGGGGGGAGGGGCGGAGCGTGGCAGCTGGCAGTAGTTCCGTCAGAGCGGACATCTTGTGGCTGTGTCGTGCGCGTGAGCCCCCGTAGGGCCGGGGAGGCACCAGCTGCCGCGCGGGGAGGAGGCCGAGGCCGCAGCTTGAGGGAGGCCCCGGCCCCTCAGTACGCGTGGGTGTGGACGGCTAGGGGAAGGGAAGGGAGGCTGGCCCACTGGCCGGCTGGGTAAGAGGGGAAACAGGCCTGGGGTGGCCTGAGTGACCAGCCTGTTGGGTGGAGTAGGGTGGGAACGCTTGAGAAGCTGGGGCCTCTCCTGTTAAGGGGGAGGGGGAATGGGCGCGTTCTCGCGCCTAAGCCGGAGCCTCTAGGGCCGCACGGGCGCGTGGTGGCTGTAGCTAGGCCGGCGAGAGCGCGCGCGGGGGCGCGCTGGAAGGCGGAGTGTACGGTAGCGTCAGGGGCGACACAGAATAGCTCTAGCTGCGGGGACAGCAGCACATATCAAACCTCTTTTTATTTCCTTTCCTTTCCCTGTCGCACCTTGGAATAGAAACTGAAAGAAGCCCGGCGTCCGTAGCCTCCCGTTTCCCCCTCCCCCCTAGCCTTTCTTTGCCCTAGTGACGCCGGCATAGCGCCGACTAGGCCCCGGCTCCTCCTCTGCTGGGCTCTGGACCCTGCCCCGCACCCACCCCTTTCTCCTACGCCTCTTCCTCTCCCACCCTGGTCTCTTCCTTTCGAGAGGCCGGGAAGTCAGACTTGTAGCCACCCCTCCGCTCTTCCCGTCACTCGCCCCTTCTTCGGGCCGAAGCACGGCATAGAGGCTGTTGGTGGCCTTGCCACGCCACCCCACCCACTCCGGATCCCCGCCGTTTTGAGGGACCTGGATTCATCGGGGTCTCTCCGGGGCCTGTACGAGTGCTGATCTGCTCCGTTTTTGCAAAAGGCGCCAGTGCCTGGCAGAGCCGGTGTGAGACGAAGAGACAGTCCTTCCCTGCCGCCGGGATAATCAAGAGTTTTGGCCGGACCTTTGAGCACAGACCGGGATAGTGAGGAGCCAGACGCAAAGCACAGACTATGGCGCTGAAACGGATTAATAAGGTAACCCACAGAGCCTTAGGGGATGGGGTCGTGGGAGGAAAGGAAGACTCAGGCCTGGAGGAAGCGTGGGGGCGGGGGAAGTGTAATTATGAAAATATCCTTCCTTGGGTCATTCTTACTTTGGGGGATGGGAAATGCGGATACACTTCATTAAATGAGGTTTAAAGTTAGTGAACATTTGTGAAACAAGTGGGATATCTTTAGTATGTTTCAGTGAAAGCGCTGCAAATTTGGGGCTGGGAAGAATGGTTTCAAGCCCCTCGGTTCTGCTTCTGAGGGTTACAGTCCCGTTTAGGGGTCAGAAATTGGGCAGAGACGCAGATGTCATGGCGCGTCTTATTCTCGGTGCTTGGAAACTTATTTCAGCTGTAAGATGAAGGCTCTGGGCTTTCTAGGGTGAAGGTGGGAATCTCAGCGGGGAAAAGATCCCGGAAATCGAGCGGGTCCCAGAACTTTACCAGGGGTTGGGGGTAGAAGTGTCTTGCCACCCAAAGAGTAGTGAGTGAGTCTAGTCAAAAACTCGCGATCACTCTGGGCAAGTTCCACAAGAATAAATGGTGCTGGGAGGAGTGGGCTGACACAGTGTTGCCACTTCCTATGGTTCAGGCGATTCACGCGAAGCTGTTTATCTGAAGCGCACGGGGGAACTGATGTAAAAGCCTTCTGGAAGCTCCCTTTCTTTTTCAGCTAGGGGGGCGGGGGAGGGGGGAGACGGTGTGATCCAGTAAGCTAAGGTTAGGTGTGCCTATTTTTGCTTCAGTCCATTTAATAGCACCCTCTGGGAAGATTGTTTTGCTACTTAAAACGTGGTTTGATACTAACTTGTCGATCTCAGTTGAAAAAACAAATAGGGTATTTCAAGGCTTGGAGTGAGCGGAACCTCCACCGCCGGTGGTTTAGTCTCATTTTCTTGCTCTAACTTCTATCCCGCATTTTAAGATGGCGGCTGCTTTTACTGGTTCAGGCTCTTTCCGGCATCTCCTTTTGTAATAATATGAAATAATAATCTTTGTTAAATGCTAACTTTTACACTAGGTTGTACACTACTCTAAGACCTCCACCTCAATACTTAGCTATAGTCAAACTCAGACCGTATTTCCCTTTTTTGTGACTTGTGTATGTGTAGTGTGTTGGTTCTTGCACAATCGTAGAGGGTGGAGTATTTACAGCTAACTTGAAAAAAATGTAATGGAATAAATTCAGGCTTACTAAAACTAGGAGACGGGAGGTTGTAGGTTAGAATCTTTGGTTTGATAGGTTACTTTTTTAGAAAAAGAATTCTACGTGGAAGGAGATGGGAGGTCTTCGCTTTGCTTAGACCTGATATTGCTTTAAGTGTGACTTGGTTGTTTATTTGGCGGAGGTGGTCTACTTGAAGATGATGGTTTACCTTCTAATTTAGATTATCACTCCATGTATTGATGCTGAAATCGTTGATTTTGTTAGGGCCTTCTTTGCATTGTCATTGTGGGTTTATGTAAATATAAACTTGTCTTTGTATATTTGAGAAAATGGAAAAGAAGAGGAAGAAAAATTAGGAATTAAGACTTAGAAATTACTTAATCACTCCTTTTTTTGGACCCCTTTGAAGTCCAGCAACACATTGGAGAAGCATAGTTAGATATTTTACAGCATAGTTAATACAAAGAACATAATATTCAGTACAAATAGAAACCATTTTAATCTTTGGGAATCTAGGCCACTAAAATGTGGAATAATTTCAAATCCATAGCTTTTTATACATGTGGAACAGAACACTTTAAAGGAAGGTCTCATTGATTTTTTTTCTTTTGCAGGTGATAACCAGCTGCTGTGACACCACTTGTAATAATTTAAAAGCTCTAGAGAGGCAGTATAATGGTTAAGAATGTGAACTTCAGAGCAGAAATGCTCAAGTTAGAATTCTAGAACTGGGCTAGTTATCTTGTGTGTGCTTCTATAAAATGAGTATTTGTTTTGTATGAACAATAAATAGTTGAGTGTCTCGTGTGTGGCAGGCACTGAGGATGCAGTAGTTGAGCAAAACAAATTTTAGAATTCTAGTGCAGTGTTCTTGTTTTAGATTAATGTGTGGTTTTGAATAGACCCCAGGCACATGACACTCAGATTATTATTACTACCATTTTAATATCACTTTAATTTTTAAAACTTTTATTAAAGAACTTTCTAGTCTAATACTCTGTTAACACTTGATTGCCTTGTGTTTTGAAGATTTGTATAATACAGAAACTTGACATGACACTTTATACATTAGAAAAATCAGTGGTATTTTTGTGATTTTTTTTTTAATTTAATCTATAGAAAAGTTCTGACATGTATGTGGTTTGATCTTCAGCACTTGCTGTCAGAATCACACAGTGAACCAAAGTTATTTTTTAAAACAAATCCCAGATCCCGAAAAAGAATTTTAGCAAGTAGGCAACTGTTGGGAGAGGGCACACCTCTATTCTCCAAATTTGAAGTCAAGTAAGCATTACTGGTATTATTATGGTATTTCTTGTGTCATGTGCCTGTTTATTTTGAATTCCTCTCTGAAACCCTCCAATTACAAATATTAAGATACAATTATTTTTAATGAAGTGCTTATTGTTAGACTGTCTACCCATTGGTAGTTCATTTGATCCAGCCTTTGAATTTGTTTTGTTCTAAAGCTTATGCTCTTGCAGTTTTTTTGTTAGAATATTTCTTAGACCAAGCAGCCTTATCAGACAGTTTATTCTGTGTGTGGGTTTTTTTTTTCTATATTTATTTAGACCAGCTGTAGTATGGTCTAATGAGGCAATTTATTAAACAACAGAATCAAGACTGGGAACTCCCAAGTTGATTGGAGGTATTTGGGAGCCATAGCAATTTTACTACTACCATTAAGCAAAATAATTTACAGTGCATGTGTTTTGGGAAAGTTTAGAGAACTTCGTGTTATATAGAACACAATGTGAAGCAAGCCTGAAAGCATAGCTTATGCTTTGAGTGTTCACAGCATATCAGAACTGTTTGAAACACTTGTGTTAAATCATTTAAGCTTTTGACAAAGGAAGCAGGTACTATTACTGTTCCCATTTTTATATTAGACATCTGAGACACGGAGATTTAAAAAACAAACAACACAGTCTTACCAGAATTGGGATTATTAGAACCTAGGCTGTCTGGCTCCACAGGGTGTCCTCTTAATCACTACATTGTAATGTCATCCTTTAGGTTTTTGGTATTCAAAAAGGTTTTCTAGTGCATGTATCATTCCAATAATAGCTTGATCTTAGCATCCACTATATACTAAACACTGTTTCCAAACCTTTTATGAGTATCAACTCATTTAATCTTTACAACAACCCTGTGAGATAGATGTTCGTATCGTTCCATTTTCTACACTAGGAAACATGCACAGAGAGGCTAAGTTAATTGTCTATAGTCACAGCTGATATTTCACATCAGTCTTCCTCAGCTCAGGCTCTTAAACTCCATGCTATACTGCTATGTTGAACCATTTCATTTCCTGTTTTTTAGTTAGGTGAGTGGATGTCATTAGTTTTGGTTCCCTGAAGTGTAAGCCCTGTCTCTTCTCCCACTTAGCATTCAAATGGGATTTAACTTCACTGTAAGGTTAGAACTACTTTGTGAATTAAGTTTTTAGCTAACATGAGTATTGAAAGTACAAGTACATTTCTTTTTGCCTTGTCTCCTCAGGAACTATGGGAAGGAACTATCATATGTACCAGCTGATCACTTGGTTATCTTAAATGTCCCCAGTGAGTCTGTAGATTGGAAACTATATCTTACACGTGTTTCTTACAAGATCCTCAAGGCTTGTCGTTAGCCATTTAATTTAATTTGTAGGACAATTGTGTGAAGGGTACTAATGATGACATTGAAATTTATTTAATTTGAATAATGACGACTGATTTTTATACTGTGTGCTTTGGTTTCATCACGCTCACCGGCAGTGTTAATTCTAGATTGTTATTTATATAAATACACAGTTGAAAACTTGTGGTAGCGCTAGGGGAAAAACTTTTATTAGGTACGTCTATTGCTAGTTTGTGTTAATTCATAGGTTTAGATGTCACTGGTTATCTAATATCTAAGATGCAGTTAATTGTTGAGAATTTATGTCACAATGTTTAGCAGAGTTTTTGAAGAATATAGGTACACAGACGAGGTCTTACTAGAATTACTGAGTTATTTTTTATTGAAACAAGGCAGAATTTTGAAGTGCTCCCTAGGGGCATTTCTGGAGCTTCCCTCTGGTTGAGAACCACACACAGGGGATAATCATATAGTCAATACTTACTGAGGTTTTTCTCTGGCCCAGTAGTCTAGTCCCAGGGGATAAAAAAATAAGGAAGCCTGTCATTACCTGTGAGAATCTTTGCTTTGAGTGGCAGAAACAAGCATATAAACACATAAATAGGTGTTCACACCTCATACAACTTACCTTTAAATAGTAGTATATACCAAGTAGAAACATTTAAAAGAAATAGGTGCCTTCATTCACATACCAGATTTACACATAAAGATAGGTTCTACGTATCTTCATTGGACTACATTTTGTCATTGTTACAGTGAGGGATTTTCTTCACTAATTATACTTCCCTTCACCAAAAGAAACCAGTGTTTTGAAAATAGCAAAATTAAATTTTCATTTTTAAACTGGGAATTTTGTGTTCTTAATTTGGTTTTGCTGCTATGACAAAGATCTCATTTGGGTGCATTTAGTGAGTATTTTATTAGCACATTTACCCTGTTAGGTAAGATTTATTCTCAAAACTGTATCCATCACCCTGTTATGTGGGGAAGAGAAAAATTCAATGAACTATTTTATACTTTGCTCAGACATCTGATTTTTATCTCCACCTATACTTTCAGCATGATCTTGTATTATTCAGAGACCTCCCACCCACTTTTCACAGTTGAATTTTTTGTATTTTACCTTGTAGGCCTCACATAAATGGCTTGGTTACTTGATCATTTGCAGGATGGAATACTTGTTTACATTATTCTCA